CACTAAGTAGAAAGGCCGAAGCGGCACTACTGGACTGGTTCCCGATTAACAGCCGGCTATGTGCAGTTCGGCTTCGGGGTTCATGTAGAATCAACAGGCACCGCGAAGAGAGACACAACTTGTTTGTGATCTCCGTGTACGCTCCAACTGACTGCAGTGGCGACTGGGTTAAGGACGAGTTCTACCGAGATCTACATCAGCTTTTGACTAATGCTAAAAAGTCGGATGTCGTTATCCTTGCTGGGGATTTTAATGCACGGGTTGGCCGCCTGTTACGATACGAACGCCACCTTGGTGGCCATCACGCGCTCGATGAGAACCACTCTGATAACGGAGAAAGACTTCTCACATTGTGCGAGGACAACCGTTTGTTTCTTTCGAGCACTAATTTCAGGCGTACGAAGAAGCGTTGCGCAACGTGAGTCCCCCTTCTTCAACACAACCGTGGTCTCAAATTGATCACATTGCAATTAGCTTTAGGTGGCGCAGCAGCATACTGGACTGCAGGTCGTTTTGGTCCACCTTCGTTGACTCAGATCATACTCTGGTCTGCGCGAAAATCTGTATGTGTTTTGAGGGATGCCGAAACACGAAGCACCGCTAGATTGACGTAAACAGATTCCTCTGTTCAGGCGAGCTATCAGTCTTCACTAGCATATGCACTCAGTTGCAATCCACCGCAAGAAGTAGAACAACACTGGACTTGTATACGGAAATCGATGACCAGTTCCGGACAGTGAAGCTGCGGCCTAAGTCGACGCCCCTTGAAGGCTTGGATCTCTGCTCGTTCTCTGGAGCTGTTCGAACGCCGCAAAGATATCCTTGCGGAATCAGATTGCAACGAGCGGCGCCGTTCTGCCAACCGGCTGCTCAAGCAAAGCCTACGCAAGGATCACGAGACATGGTGGTCTGAGCGTGCTTTAGAGATGGAGACTACTGCCCTCTCTGGCAACACTCGCAGCCTTTTCCAACTCATTCGGTCCACTGGCCTCAGGAAGCCTGGTGTCACTGAGGTCATTTGTGAGGTGGATGAGTCTTCGATCACCAACCAACAGAGGCGTATGGACCGCTGGGCCGAGCACTTTCACTCGCAGTTCAACTGGCCTCCACCATCCATCAGTACATGCAGTACACCTTGTTGTTTACCCTGTCTCGTCCCTCTGAATCTACCCAGCGAAGCGGAAGTCTGCCTCGAGATCCGACGCTTGAAGCGCTTCGAGGCTGCCGGCTTAGCCGGACTTCTCCGGAGCTGTTGAAGTACGGCGGTGTGGCAATCACTAACTAGCTGACCGCGCTGTTCGCACAAATTTGGCATGAAGAGAAAGTGCCTTCATCTTGGGCGAATCAGTTATTGTCCCGATTTTCAAGAAAGGCGCTCGCACTTCATGTGTAAATCATCGCGGGATCAGTCTTAATTTGATTGCCTTCAAGCTATTGGCATCCATGCTGCTTCGCAGACTATCCCCAGTACGTGAATCATACTACCGTGAAGAACTAGCTGGTTTCCGTCCCGGTCGCGGATGAGTGGATTAAATCTTCACGCTCCGCCAGCTCCTCGAACATCGCCACATTTATCACAGGCCCACTATCGTTGCACTCCTAGACATACGTACCGCTTTTGACTCCGTTGATCGACCTGCTTTCTAAAGAACGGGTTGCCAGAATTATACCGCCATCTTATGAGCACTTTACCTTCATACATCCGGCAGATGGAGGGTCCATGGCAAGCTTTCCTCGCAATTCGCTGTCAATAGCCGTGTGCGACAAGGCTAACATATGCCCCCATTCCTCTTCAACTTCGCAATCGAAGACGTTCTGTCGAATGCTCTAGAAGGTTTCCAACATTTTGGCTAAGAGCTTCTACCGGGTGAGCGCGCGACCGACTTAGATTATGCTGATGATATCGCCTTACTTGGTGACGATCCTTAGGGTATGCAATTCATTCTGGATTGTTTGGCGGTTGAAGCATCTAAGTATGGCATAAGCTTCGCCCCATCGAAGTGTAAAGTACTGCTCAAGGATTGGCTTTCACCTGCTCCTGTGCTCACTCTCGAATGTGCACAACTTGAACAGGTAGATAGTTTCGTCTACCTTGAGAGCTGTGTTTCTGCTGACGGCACTATCAACAAAGAAGTTTCTCTTCGTATCGCTAAAGCTCGATCAGCATTTGTCAATCTGAGGCACTTGTGGCGTCGTCGCAACGTCTCATTCTCACTAAAGGGCCGCGTTTACAGCGCATCAGTTCGCTCAGTATTGTTGCATGGGAGGGGGGTCCTGGTCGATTCGCGTGGAAGACATGCGTTGTCTTTCTGCGTTCCACAACGGTTGCTTAAAGAGGATCGCTCATGTTTGGTAGCAAGATGGAGTTAATAGTAAGGACGTTCAACCTCGCATCTTGGGGAATGCGAGTATTCCCTTCAACAAACTGGTTTTGTTGCACCATTTGAGATGGCTCGGTCACGTCCTACGCATGACACCTGAGCGTCTACCGCGTCGCGCTCTATTCGTTCGTCAAGGACCTGGCTGGAAGCGACCGCGTGGTGGTCAGCCTTCCACTTGGCGGCAGCACATGAAATCGCTGACGTCGTGTCTAGCCGCTGTTGAATCCGTACGTCTTCCAGGATTGGGACCCAAAGATGAGGAGTGGCAATGGCTTAGCACTCTTGAAGACATGGCCGGCAACCGGAATCAGTGGAAGAATTGTGTACAGTATTGTATTGATTCACATGTTTCATAATGCAAATATTGAAAATGAGAAAAAAAGAGAATAATCAGCGTGTGAGAAACAAACTAAAAATGCTTTGTTCTATTTTTTGTCAAAATGTTCCATTCTTCCTGCGGCATGTTAGCTGAAGTGTGTTGCTCACCTTCAACTACTATGACACGATGATTATGACGCAGTGACTTCCCCTTATCTGCTAATCTCCATGGCTTTCTTGGCTCTATGTCTAGTTGCTAGGCTGTTGAGATTACATACATACTTTTCGACTGGCCCTTCAACGTCACATTTATACAAACAGCCCGCCATGATAATTTTCCTTGAGTTGAAGGCTGTTTTCGCTTCTGTCGTTCACAACTACTTATAGCGGTATCTCTTTTTGAAAGCCATACTAGTGAGGTTTTTCTTACCGTGGCACCTCACCTCTGATCTGACCGCAACATGTGTATTGCACCAGGTTTTTCCTCTATTCAATTCTATGCAACTTTATAATCCACTTGATCACAACCGACTCTCTCCTGCCTTCAATCTGCTTGGGTCTGAGATCTGTTTGATGACCGGCTGCAAAACCTGAAGTATGCAGACAATTTACTTCTCTTTGGGTCGTACTCAGTCACCATGAAAGCGCTACTTTGTATGACGATGCCCAGTCTTCTTCGTTTCGGCATATGTAAGCCTTCAGAGCACATTTACGGATCAGAACTTTCCAATTTCTATTTCTCACTGTTTTCAAACAACCGTTAGATGTGCTCGATGCCTGTGCTCAGTGCTGTCCATACATAATAAGAGAGTCGAGTGAACAACAGTCAAGTTCATCATTTGAGGGTTTGACACCGAATCTTATGCTTGTTGAACTCGAATCGCTTCCGGTGGCTCCGTCATATGCTACGCATACCTTCGTCTTTCTCTGTGTATGTCTCGTTTGTCAATACAATGCTTAGTCGACTGAGTCGGTGGCGTAATAAAAGCTCATAAAAACTCACCAAAAGGCTTAATGGGGCTGGTGCTTGTCGGCTTCCATGATGGGATCCAGTGGGTCGGCCACATCAGTGCTTGGACACTGCCAGATGTGGTGCGGTCTCGAAATTTGTAGCACTCTAGCGTTTTCTCTACTTTTAGGTTTGTTGACCCTTCCGTCAGCGAGTTTTATTCGTGCCCGTTTCCTCTGAATTATTATTATTATTATTATTATTATTATTGTTATTATTATTCTATTTTTCCTCCTACTCTTCGTTATGACTGTGTGTGTTGAGGCAACTGTACCCACCACACTGCAGTGCACATACATAAGTCACAACATGTACCAAACCACACTGTTTCTTTCGCCGTTGACGGCGCTCTTTCTATCTCTTCGTCTACATGCACACTACTTGTTTAATCTTTTTCAATCTCGATCACTCGTTCCCTCATAACCGATTCGAATCGCTTTAGGTACTGGAAACCTCGCGGTTTACCCCACCTGCGCGCGACCGGTGGTTGTTGCGCGCCAGCGAAGCGTCGGTCCAATGTGCCAGCGTGCTTCTGATATCTCTTTCACAATCCTTAGCCCATAAATCATGTTGTACCATATTGTTTCCCGATACCATATCCTGTGTTTTACAGTTTAGCTTTCATGTAAACCACTTTAAGCCTAGCACATTCTCCGTGCTCGGATCCTGGCGTAAGAATAAATCATGGGGAACTCGACCAGCGTTGTTTGTTACGTAGCTGCATGTAGTCTAACTTGGTGGCCTGTCTATTTTGGGCCATCATATGATAACATCCCTTTGTCACTCACCCCATCTCTCATTTTGATTAAGCTGTATTTTTCCTTCCATTCCTCTTACTTTCTCCTCTCAGTGTTTATAAGCATATCCTAGTTTGCCAATTTCGTTCACATGTAGCCAGCACCCGGATCCCAACTGATCACCGAGCCACATGGCTGGGTGGCTGTCTGCTCTATTCTGCTCCCTACTTATGCTCTTTCTTCTCATACCAAAGCGTCAGGACTACCATTCGTTGGCACTCATATCAAGAGTGGAAGTTGTCGAATTTTACCATGTGATGCAGTATGATTTTCTGGTCAATTGAGGTCCTCCTTGTTGCTTAGTCTGTCTCTTTTGATCCGAATTCTGACCGCATTTGAGGGGCGCTGCCTGATTGCTTACATTGCTTTTACGTGAGCCGATCCTTGTCACATTTCCATTCACATTTCTGCTGACAAGCTATTTGGCTAGCTTGACCGTTATTTTTGTTCGAACTTTGATTTCTCTCTGATATCATTCTTTGGGTTTACCTCTAGTCCCACTCGCGTGGAACCCGCCAAACAGCCCACCTTGGAGGAGATCATTCAGGCCCTCATGCTCAAAGGTAAGAGTTTTTAACTTTTCGTTTTCTTCTTAATGTTCCTGTCACCTCCAAGTTATTTTCTCTACTGCGCTTCTTAATGTATTCATGTAGTGCACTCAACCTCCTCGGAACCGATGCATCGGATTGGTCATTCGAATAACGCCTTTACTTATCACCTGAGTCAATACTCCTCAATTTGGCCCACACAGTTTCCGGCATTTGTTAAGCCCTATATATCTATATCTATCTATCTTCTATCTATCTATCTAATCTATCTGGCTAGCTCTTTCTGGACAACATTCCACCTGATACTTTGGTACCGCTAGGTTTTTCTATCTCTTAGTGGCTTGGCGCGATTGCTTGAATTTCTCATTTACTAGCAGGCAGTTAGCTGTCATTTTTCACAGAGTTGCAGTCCTGACGCTACAAATTTTTTTTAGCTTCTCTAGCTCATTTTTTAAAAGTTAACCGAACTTCCTGTCTCTATGATTGCCGGCTAACCTTGCCTCAGCGTGGTCGGATCCTATAAAATATCCAAGTACCCATAAACTCAGTGGAATCGTAATTGTTTTCATTGGTTAAGTCACCTAACGCTTTATTTGTATATCAGTCCACAGACGGGATCAGGAAATATCACACTTCAGCAACTTTCTGAGATAATCTACAGTTGTCGTTTTCGTGCCGCTGGCCCGGATTCCCTCCCACCTGCACTATTTAAGGCTGGAGGTGAGGTCCTCTGCAAAGCACTGACCTCCCTATTCGAACGTCTCTGGAAGGAAGAGTGTGCCGGCTAATTGGAACGAATCGATTATTGTGGCAATATACAAGAAGCGCAGTCGCACAAACTGTTCTAACCACAGGAGTATTAGCCTAACGCCAGTTGTGACGAAATTACTGGCCTCGATTCTCGTTATCCGCCTCACTGTGGAACGGGAATCTCGGATTAGGGAAGAACAGGCCGGTTTCTCCCCAAGACGTGGCTGTATAGACCCTATATTCACTTTGCGGCAGGTGCTAGAGCAGCGCCACGCATACCGCAGACCGACAATAGCTATGTTCCTTGATTTCAAGAGTGCGTTCGATTCAGTCGATCGATCGATTCTGTTCGAACTACTTGCGCGGAATGGTGTTCCCGCGAAATATGTGAACTTCCTACGTGCTCTATACTCGAACACTACAGGCCTCATCAGGTTCTACAGTGGCCTATCGGATCGCTTTCCGACCACAAGTGGCGTTCGTCAGGGTTTTCCGATTTCCCCGTTTTTGTTCGATTTCGTCGTGGATTCTATCATGGAGTGTTCCCTTGCGGAATCTCAGCATGTAGGCGTTGAAGTGCTGTCTGGTGAAAGAATAGTTGATCTTGATTATGCGGACGATATCGTCTTGCTTTTCGACGCTGTTGGGGTGGCCCAATCAACCATGAATAGTCTGTCTAGAGTGGTCCCATTATTTGGTATGCGCTACGCATCTTCAAAGTGCAAAGTGTTGCTTCGGGACCAGCAGCCACTTTATGAGCTCTTATCCCTTGCTAACGAGGAACTCGAGGTGGTTGATCACTTCACTTATCTTGGCAGCTGCGTCAGCAACGATGGGCGCATACAAACTGACGTCAGCTCACACATTGCAAAAGCCAGAGCTGCCTTCTTGAACCTGGGGCATTTTTGGTGACAGAAGGGAGTTTCCCTTTGTCTGAAAGGCCGTGTATAGAAGGCTACAGTGAGGGCCGTTCTGCTCTATGGGAAAGTGGACGTGGTCCCTTCGGTCTGAAGATCTGAGGTACCTTCAAGTCTTTGATCATCGTTGTCTGCGAAGCATTGCTGGTGTCGGATGGCACCAGCGTGTCCACAACGATGATGTGCTAGCTCCATGCTGGCCCCTTAGAACAACAGATAGCACTGAATAAGTTACGTTGGCTCGGGCACGTGCTACGTATGCCTGGTCACTGCTTACCAAGGAGGGCCTTGTTTAGTCTGCCATGTGTAGGGTGGCCCAAGGCTGTAGGTGGACAGAAGTTGACTTGGCAGCGGGGAATGAAGTCACTGACGACCAAACTGTGTACCGTTGGTCCTTCTTGCATTCCGACCTGGAGTCCCCGTGACTCGCCTTGTGCTTGGCTCGAGACTTTACAGGACATGGCTCGCAGTAGACACCAGTGGCGCGTCTGCTGCCGTCTCCTAATCGGATTGCCGGTTTAAAGTGTGTTTGATGCTGAGTTATCTGCGGGGTAGAGGTATATTATGATGCGTGGCAGTGAAAGCGCAAGGAAGCTGTCTCGCCGATGCCGCCTTATTTTTGCGCGATAGCCAGCTGTTTGTGACGGTATGTTGTCTACACAAGGGGTATGCGCCTTGACCCTAAATGTTTACTTAGGGGATGAAGGTTTTCAGGTAAGTCCCCCTTCTCTCCCTCTTTTTATTCTTTATTTCATAGGTCCTCATGGTTGTATGGCAGCGAAGCATCAGTTCAAATGGCTGATGTACTGCTGTTGATGATGCTGATGTCGGTCCTCACATGTATCCTTTATTTTGTAGCGAATGTTAGTAAGAATATCATGCGAATTCCCTCTTGCGGGTTCGCTCACTCCTTCGTTGCCATACACATCTAGCGAATACCTCACGTTATATTGAGAAGATAGCATTTGACAATAATCTTTGTCACGCTTTGCTCATTTAAGGTCTATTTGCTGATTTGAAGTAACCAATGCATTTTCCCACTCACCTATCGCTAGTTTCTTCTGTTTGACTACCTGTGGATGCTTAACATCTCAGACATTAATCATTTCTGCATTATCTATTTTGTACCATTATACGTGACGGGAGTGGACGGCCGATCCACAGTTTGTTAAAACGCTTGGAGCGTTGAACCGAACACTTTGAAATGCAACTTGATCAATTGAAGTTACCTGCTTCTCCTTCGACCATTGATCGCGCTTCCTTCTGGGCCGTCCCCATGGACCTTCACTCGCAGAAATGGAACGTAAGATCAGACTGTTGGAAGTAAATAAGGCCGCAGAAGCGGATACAATCCATCCAGCCCTCTTCAACTTCGGATGATCTGCTTGTGTACTTCATCTACACAACTTGTGAAGCTGTGTGAGCAGGAAACTGTCCCAGAAGGCTGGAACCGTTTGATTATAGTCCCAAATTTCCAAGGGGCTCACTTTCTGAATGCGGCAACCATGGAGGGATCAGTCTGATCTCAACTGCTTCCAAGATACTCGCATCTGTCATCATTCATAGACTTGCTGGTACACGTGAAAGCCAGACTCGCAAGGATCAAGCCGGGTTTGATTGAAGTCACGGCTGTATGGATCAGATCTTCCCAGTATGTCCATAGTTGGAACACCGCCATATTTATCAGTGACTCACCGTAGTCGTGTTCCTATACATCAAACGGTGTCTTCGATTCGGTGGATCGATGTGCCCTTTGGGACTCTCTATTGTGGAAAGATGTACCCGATACATATGTACATGTCATAAGAGCGCTGTACGCGCATATTTCAGGCAGTTTTAGGGATTGAGACAAGAATCCCCCTATCACCTTTCCTTTATAACGTATCCATCGGCGAAGTCATGGAAACTGCGTCCACTGGACACGTCCCGCAAGGCGTGGACCTGCTCCCTGGTGAACGACTTCTTGGTTTGGAGTACGCCGATGACATTGCCCTTGTCTGTGACAGTTTTCAAACGTGCCATTAGCATTGGCTGCCAGTCGTTTCCGACTATGCTTTACACCCTCCAAGTGAAAAGTCCTTCTTTAAGATTGGCAGACACCCACCCTTGCGCCGACCCTTGATGGGGATCAGCTAGAAGTCGTCGAGAAATTCAAGTATCTAAGCAGCTATATCAGCGCCAATGGAATGGAAGATTAGATCACAAACCGCATAGCAAAAACACGAGGCACTTTTGCCAATCTCCGCCGCCTGTATCGCCGGCGCGAAATCACTCTTGCCCTAAAGGGTAGAGTTTACAATGCAGCCGTTCCTTCAACCCTACTGTATGGTTTCGAAACCTGGCCCATCAAGTCGACAAACATAAAGAGGCGAGTCACGCTGGATCACCGCTGCTTTCGCAGCGTTGCTCTCTTCTGGTGGGAACATGACACTAACAATGGTTATACTCCGCGTCATGTGTTTGGTGCGGGCAGATCGAATGATCCGCTCAGTGCCATTATGTCACGCACCAGGCTCCAATGGCTGGGCCACGTGTTGCGCATGCCAGTCTACTGACTTCCGCGTCGTGCGTTGTTTTCGCGCCTAGGGTGGTGTGGATAGAAGAAGAGGAGGGGTGGTTAAGAGATGAATTAGTCAAGATAAATGAAATCCTTCACTTCGAAGTTGGTGTCATTTGGTGTCGCCCGACTTCAGAGCTGGGGTCCTGAGGATGATGAACACGCTTAATTGGATTCACTGGTTGACATGCCAAGGAGCCGACCTCATTGACGTTTGTGTTCTGAGTTCCTTTGTCCGTCCCCATCCCGCTTATCTTCCCCCTCTAACCACGATCTCCCTGTTGACGCAAAATATGTTACTAAGTAGTGTATCGCATTCTATAATTTTCGGTGTTTTGCTTTTTCGTATGTCTTATTTTTTGTATTGCGGCACAATAGTCCAAGTGTGTTTCTCATCTACAGCTAATGTGTAATGAGGATTGTGATAACTTTGTACATTCCCGGTTGTTTTCTAAGGATCACTATTGGTCTGCTATTTGAAACATTCTACTTACGTGCTGAATGCTTCCGTACAACAAGTGACCGGTATTTCTTTTTCACTCAATTGCATTATGGGGTCTAATCTTAATGCAGTAAACCGACGCGATATCTGCCCTCTTCGCATCGCCTCATCGTTGTGTGCTTTACCCAGTATTTCTCATCCTTCGGACCATGTGTATGGATGGCCAAATTTGGCAGTGCAGTATGTTGCAGTCTCTGGCCAATTCTCAACTCAAAACTAGTCACACACTTTCTATTCTTGTGACGACGGTTATAGTTTTGTATCACCTACTTCTATCAATTTCTTTAAGTGACAGGAAATATGACGCCTATGTTCCATCAGCACAGCATGTTGCCATTGAATATCACGGTGTTGCGTAAAGCCATTTCATATTTCAGTTGATGTACAGCTATTGTCAAGTACCCAGTCGAAATTTCACTCTCACTGTGATTTGTTCTCTGGATCGATTCCAGCGATGTCCTGATGGGTGAGGCTCACTGAGACTCTACGAACTGCTTTTCGTTGGTATTGTGACAAGTCCTTGACGAGTGAATGGACGTCTGCATTGTAGTTGTAGGCGCATCATGGCACAGTACCACCTATGCTGGTGTAGACACGCCTCCGATGTCCACTCCCTTGAAGTCCAGTAACGAAGTTCATCGTCCCACTTAATCTGGACAGTGGTTATCTCCTGATTGTACGGGAAATTTGCGGCATTTGTTGTGTGAATGGATCGCGACGCGGAATCTATGTGAATCGCGTTTCGCATTGGAACGAACCCTGGTCACTTCGATCATAGGGGCCTCAAATGAAGCCGGCGAATATTTGATGTTGCCTATACAAAAACACGGCACTCCATGACCGGTTTCGAACTAGTTTCATCAGATAGTTTGAGCAGGCACTCCAAACCGAGGCCTTTGGGATATCTGCCGAAATCTTTGCTCATAAGCCATCGAGTCACGGCGGACAACGTTTGTCGCAACTGTTAATGACTGGTTGGTGGATCATTTTGAAGCACTCGTTGTCTACATGTATTCCGGCCCACAATCCCTATGTAGTTGTGTTTATTTGACGTGTTGCACGGGCGATTTTCGCCGTTGAGTTATGGCACGTCGTAGTGGTTTTCCATTGTTTCTGTTTCTTCACTTTTGATCCAATTTATGCAGGCATGATGACGTTCATACATGCTTATATAACAGAACCTAACATTAGCAAGTCTCTCATCTTGCTTTGGATTTTGCTACATATTTACATTTGTTCTAAACTGCCATTTGTCCTCTCATTGTCTGGTCCCCGCATGACTTACTGGGACACGCATTAGCTGGTACAGTAATTACTAGAAACCATACCCTTTAACACCATGTGACAATCACCTGTCAATCTGGACAATCTATGAATGCACACTCGCTTGCGATGGTTCAAGGAAATTCACTTGGGGTGTGCAACGACTTGGATATTCCGCTTGATCATCAGCCACAGCGTGAGATATTTGATCCAAATCAAATCGATCGCCATACAACTATCGAAACGTTTTCCTCTAGCTCTCCTTCTTTTGGTCGCAATATGGTCTCGAATTTACTTTGTGTCTTTTCGAACACACTAGTGTCGTTTTATGTTGCTTTTTTTATCTTCTATCATGTTCAGTACATGTGATCCGGTTTAACAAACTTGTTGGCTGTGTCAGAGAGCGCTTTCACGACCCGCATCAGGTGACAAATGCCGCAGTGTTACATCATGTACAGAAAGTTGCTGTCCTTGTCCGGGGATGGTGGGTTGTCAAAAGGTTAGTTATGTCTGTTTCGCGGCAAACTCACTTCCTTGCTTTTCTGGAAAATTCATTGTTTACGGAGCACAAATATGTTCCCGAATCCTTTATGAGGATCTCCCAGTCACCAACTTATAGCCTGGCACTTTGTAGTGATGTGATCAACTGAAGCTGAGATACATTTGCGATGCATTAATTTATGCGTACATTTTCACCCTTGCTTTTGCGAAATGAAGCTGATTCGCAGATTGACTGATCTAACAGCTGTAATTCGTATTGATCGCAGCACTACTCTTGTTTCTAATGCATCCATTTATCTAATATCAACAGCACATTGCTTAAAACCGAGACACCAAACCAGATTCACCATATGTGGGCTTCCGTTCGTAGTATTCCCTCTGTCTGTGACATGTTTCTTTTGCAATTTGCGCATCGCCATCCCTTCCATCATCGTCATTAACGTTGCCCTCTTCACCAAGTTATCTATAACTGAAAAATACGACAGGCCTCCATGTCAATCCGTGACATTTTAAATCAACTTTGCAAATTTCCGAAATTATTAACTACGTATAGTATAGTGCTTTTGGTGGCATGTGGTGACTGTCTGACAGGGTTTAGTTGTGATTTTGAATTGTTGTGTTTACTGCTTTCAAGGGAAGATTAAGCACCTTTGCAATTTCACGGCGGTTTAAGCGACCATTGTCAATGACAACCTTTTCAAAGCGCCCCATCTTCCAACTATTGTTTGACAGCTGTAGAATAGGGTTCGTGTTAGACCTAGTCCATCAGTCATGGGCATATGATCATCTATGAACTGCTTGCACCATTCGAATGTCTCCATTGCGCGAATCGCTACAGCGGGAAACACAGGCTGGGTTGTGCTCTGGCCGCGGCTGCAGTGATCAAATCTTCACACTCCGCCAGATCCTCGAGCTCAGCCATGTGTACCAAAAGCCAACGATTGTTGTGTTCCTGGATATCCGTGCTACCTTCTATTTTGTCGACAGATCTGCATTGTGGCACTGTCTGTTGAGGAATCTCCTTCCAGGGAAGTTCGTTTCCGTATTGCATGCTCTGTATAGTCTGACCTCGGTTAGAGTTAGGGCTTATGCTATGCTTTCGCCTTCCTTTGTTGTCACCAGTAGAGTCCGACAAGGATGCCCTATCTCCCCATACATTTCCAATTTTGCCATTGAGGATCTCCTAACGAATGCTCTGGATAACTCATTGAGAGCTGGCGTTTAGCTCCTTCCATATAGCCATTTGGACTAAGCTGGTGATATTGTCTTGCTGGGTGACGGTCCGCAGGCCGTCCAAGTTGCACTCAACCGCTTGACGATAAAGCGTCAAAGTATGGGATGGCTTTTTCCCCATACAAGTGCAACGCTCTTTTCCACGACTTTCAGATGTCTGTACCTGCACTTATTCTTGGCGGTGCGACATTCGAGCAGGGGTTCCCAACCTGCGGGTAATAACCCCCAAGCTGGTAAAATGACATTTTACTGGGGTAAATATTAGTACGAGGATTTTGTCATCAATCACTCATATAAAAGCTTAATAACAGTCAACTATATCAAAACATGTCGCTAACTACCTATGCACTTTTGATTAGATATTAGTGCCCAGTCAATAGTCACTGCAGCTAGATGACGCCACTATCGGCTCCCGCGTTTATCGTTGTTCTTTTGAACCAGACCGTCATTCGCCTTGTGGCATTATGGAGTCGATTGCATATATATATATATATATATATATATATATATATATATATATATATAGCCTAGCTGCCTAATTTTTTGTAGGAATAAAACAGTCCTAGGAATAGCTTTTCTGCAATGGGTCTTCACCGGTTTTGTCGCTAAAAATGTTGATAAGCCGCGTGTTTTGTACAGCAAAATGCTCACGGCGGAAAGCACGAAACCCAGTAACTTGAAAGACCGCTTCGAACGAAGTCATTCTCAGTAAGCAGGAAACGATATGATATTCTTCAGACGGAAATAATTTGCGCTAATACCTTCGCGCCTGGATACATCGAGCTCCATTTTTTAGTCAACTGGAGCTGGTTTCGAAGCTTCGTACCGCATCGCTCTTCAAATTGCCAAAAACAAGAACAATGTAACAATAGTATATTGCGGGCAAAAATGCGAATGCTTAACAAGTCCGGTAGGATGGCCAAAAAGAGAACCACAACATGGTGAATAGAAAACAAAGGGTTAAAATGATAGCCGTTTTGGCGGACTCACCAGTGATAACACGGCACGCAGTTAGAGCCAACCACAGTTCTTTAGATTAATTCTGGTTGTGCAACCTTCATCACATTATATCGTCTGTCGAGTCACACAGGCTGTCAACTCACGTTGGTTCGACGAGGAGTTTGGTAAGCTGGCTCCGCGGTGGCAGAAACTGCTTGACAAATTCCTTATCTCTGGATCGGTGGATGACTACGAGGTGTATAAAAGACAGCAGCAGTGTGAAAACATGCGAGCGCCGGTATTTCGAAGAGAAATGGAACAATGGTATCTTACGGGTAAAAGAGCAGAAATTTAGCAAGTGCCTTAGGATGACGAGAAGGAGAACCACAACTGGGCGAATGGAAATCAGTGATAAGATGAAACTCCTTTTTTAGACTCACCACACTGTTAACACTGAGGCATGCGGAAAGGGCCAACCTCAGTCGTGTAGATTAATCCTGGTTGTGCAACTTTGATCACATTATGTCCTCTATCAAGACATTGGCTATATATCGTAATGTAGGTGGGTTAGGGCACATCAAGGCGTTTCTTACACACCGGTATATTGGGGGCGGAAACAACGTAATTTGGGAGTGCGTTCCATGGCTGACACACACGAAGAGAGTAAAAGTTCCGTCGACATTCTAGCCGACTGTATTGCGTGCCTAACTTGAGCTGGTGTCCCCCCAAACTCATGTTGTGGCTCAGTTGTATTAGGTGGCGGCAGACATGGTTGGGGTTACTCAACACCTAGGCCATTATTAGGTCGCCACGTAGGCGCCGGTACCGACCGCTGTACAACCTTAGACTCCTCAGCCTAAGTTGATATGGAAGATGGAACCACCTTTTGACGTGCTTTGTGGCTCTTCATTGTGGAGTCTAGAGCGCTTCAAGGTCTCACTTGTGCTATGAGTGCCGAGCCTGGATTGTGTATTCCACTGGAGGCCGCACGTAGGTGTTAAACAACTGCAAACAGATAGCGGGATCCAACCACCCGAATGCCCTCTGCAGCATGTTACCATGTTTGTTCCCAGACTTTGACTGCTCCTCAGATTGTTCTGAGCAGCCCAGCTCAGCCCGTTCTAGTACCCCAAGGTCGCGCTCCTGGGTGGCAGCTTGCGAAACATGGTCTCCAAGCTTGTGTGTGATGTTCGGCTGGTGGCGAATGTGAACCACCTCAAACTTCCCCGAATTGAACTGCAGCAGATTGTGGAGTGACCATCCATACGCTCTGTCCACGCCTCGCTGAAGTGCATCGTGATCTGCTGTGTCGGCGGTCGTCAGCCACGTCGTAACATCGTCAGCGAACATCAAGAAATCTGAAGTAATCAAACGCGTAAACTCGTTAGTGAACACGAGAAACAGACGCGACCGCAGAACTGATCCTTGTAGAACTTCACATTCGATATAAATCAGATCGGACAGCGCACTTCGAACTCTGACCCACAGTTGCCGATCCTGTGGGAAATTCCTGATCCACCCAAGGACAGGATCACCAGCTCCATAGCTTTCGAGTCTGTGAAGCAGAATGCGGTGGTCCAGTCAGTCGAAGACTTTGGAAAACTCGAGGTAGATTGCGTCTGTCCCTCTGCCTGTATCGGCCGCTTCCGTCCAACTACTGCGTGCAGTCAATAGTTTGCTAGTGCATGAACGGTGTTGCCGGAAACCTTGTTGCTCGGGTGCTATGATGTTGTGGCGTTCCAGATGGTCTACTAAAGCCTCAGGGATGATTGCCTCCATCAGCTTTGAGAGCACAGGGAGGAGGACCACTGGGCGATAGTTGACGGGTTCCGAGCGATTACCGCTTTTGAAAACTGGAGTTATTTAGCCATGTTTCCACATGGTAGGCACAATTTGTTTATCCAAGCACGTTCGGAAGAAATGTGATAATGGCTTGGTCGACGTTGTTGCTGCTACCTTCAGTGCCTATGCGTGAATATAGTGGATTTCGGGAGAGTTGTAGGTGCGTAGTGAGAGCAGTTTCGTCAGCACAGCTGTGGCAGTAAACTCCATCTTAGTGGATGTTGAAGTTAAGGATAAGAATGTGGGTATGTAACACTGGCGGAGGTCTCTTTGGAAGACTGGGGCATACTGCATTCGTAGGGCCTTGACTGAATCGTCGGCACTCGGTTCCACTCCGACTGACGTGTTAAGTGGGCGGATACCGAACTTCTTTTTCCCGATGGGGTTAACATGCATGTATAGGAGCATTTTGCTGTTGGAAAATTTACAGACCGAATGTTGTTGGTGAGTCAATTTGTCCTCACGGACAAGCATGTTACAGTGGTTGCGCTAGGTCACGTAATCGCTCCAGGTTTCGGGACAAGGACGAGCTCTGTAAGTGTGCCAAGCTGCATTCCTTATTGACATGCGCTTGCGAGTTCTACTTCTGATGAAACACGAGGGGTTGGTAGAGCGAACCCTCTTTCTTTCCGAAGCAGTTGCTTTTAGATTGTTGAAGGGTCCAACAAACTGAATCCAGGCGCTATCGGGTGAGCCACCTTTCAAGAAATCCCAATCAGTCGTCTCAATTACGTTGTTCAAGATGTTGTAATGCGTGATAGTACGTGTTAGTTCTGTGTTCCTCAGGATTTTCAGCGTAAAACACATAGTTATAAAGTACGGTGACATGATCGCTTAACCCCAATTGGGTGTCTATAAATGGTCCATTGATCATGAGTTTCTCATTTGTAAGGACGAGGTCAAATACCGATGGTTTGTTATCAGCTCTGTAACTGGTAGGTGAGGTGATATGGTTGTAGAGCGGGATAC